AAATCGTACAACTTCGTCGCGTCCTTAAGAAAAGCCGCCGACGATGCGCGCGTTATTCTCGAGTTATGCCCAATAGCTACAATATCTGCCGATGCTTGTCCCTCGTCAAAAAACAGGCTACTTTTTCAATTTTAATTTCAAACGACGTTAAAAAAAAATACCCAAGTCGTGAATCTCGATTTCGCTTTTGGAAGTGACCAGAACAAACGAATTCGGTGCCGATACAATTTCGGATCTCCACGCCCGGATTTGCGCATCTCCCCAAAATTCATAAATTTCATCGAACGTGATATAGCCGATAATAGAGAAACTATGAGATTCCGCGGAAAATCTCGCTCGAAAAGACGCTTTTCTCTCCGGCGCGAGCTTTTGGCACGCGCCCTTAGAGCCTTGAAATTTTCGACGGGGAACAGGAGAGGGAGCGAGAGGACGAGAGGGGGGCAGAAAGGAGGATGCGAAACATGTGACGATTACGAGATACAAGTTTGCAGCACGAGGCGAGCTGCGTGAGCCGCGGTGCGCAATGGACCGCCCTTCCGTTTCCCGGTGGAATCCTTTTAAAAGGACGATCCGGAATAAAGGACGCTTTTTATACCCGCGTTACGTGAAAAATCGAAACTAGGCTGATCGAACTCTCGGCCACGGAAAGTCCCCCAGATGAGCGCCGCGGTCCCTAGAAGTGTCCCTAGGAGACGAGTGCCAAGAAGCCGCGAGTCGCGCCCGATTTTGGCACGCATCGGTCGAGCCTTGAACTACGCAGGAAATTTAGACAGGTATACCCGCGTCTCTCGATACGTGTGTTCACGTGTGCGCGGACAGGTGTGGGGGGTACTTAGATCGGGGATGAAAATCTTATCCGACCTCACTCGGGCGAGAAGCGGCGCCTTTGATGCGTCCTCTTGCCGCCGAACCACCGACTAACGGGAAACGCATCTCGGCTGTGCGTGTCGCGATGTGCCGGCATTACGTCCTCGGTTTGCAGATCCGCGACAGCAGGTGCGAGGTTTCGCGTTTTCCTCACTTTCTATGAATTTTCCCGCACATTCGAGGAAGGTACTACTAGGGAGACGAGGGTAGATTTTATTGAATTTATAGTTCCATCGAACAATGACAACCCTTTAAGCTCTCTCTCTAGCCTCGAGTCTGAGGTTTCGAGCGAGTATCCACGAGGAAAAACGATGAATCGAGTCGGGACTATTATTTTCATATTTTTCCGGGAGCGGAGAGCGACCGCGATCCGCCGGCGTTTGACGTTTCGGCGAAGGTCGCGTGGACCGTGCGCCTTGTGCGCGAATGCGCGTACGTACGCACTCGCGCACGGTGGGGCGCGTGTGCGCGCACTCACCGCGAGTGCGTGTCACGGCAGAGACCGGAGACGGCATTGCGTGCGACGCAAGGCCGATCTAATCGGCCGAGAGACGCGTAAGCTTGCCGATTCGAAACCTGTCTCCTTGCGAGGAAATTAAATTCAAGTCCCGAGGCTCCTTCTCGTTTCCTTTATATCGGCGCATCTCGGCGCAATATATACACAGGGAGGGGGATTTTCTGCCAAGTGAGAATTCAAATTTTTAGAGGCTACGCGTCTTTTCTTCGCACTTTTTAATATATCCAGGAGGGAAGGGGATATCGATGAATAGTCTCAGAGTTCGAGATTTCGTAATTTTAGAGGTTATGAGGAAGGTGGCGGGGGAACCTCCAGGCGACCACCCTGAAGACCCCGCCGGGACGTTTCCCTTTCTTTTCCCGTTCTTTCGCTCTTCTTTCTGGCCGTCTACTCGTCACGACTATTGATTTGTAATTTTAATCGCGGCGTGGATAAGAGCAGCGCCCGCTCGGTCCGCATTTCTTTGAGTTTACTTAACTGCCGGTCCTAGAGAAAATTAGCATCGATCCGTGAAGTCGCTCTTTCTTCGTGGGCGCAGAAAAGAGAGAGAGAGAGGGACGGGGCCCTCCGCGATCGCCCCGCTTTCACTGGATATTCGAGTTTCCAGGGAATCGTGAAGTCACGAACCAAGGAATAGATCGATCGATCGATCGATCTGCCGTCCCGATATTCTATCCTCTTCGAATTATTACCCTCGAAAAAGGGGTCACGTGACCGAACGCGAGTCAGGTCGGAACTCAAAAATGCACTTAAAGGGCACTCGCGAAAAATTATTCGCGACCCGAAAATGCATCGACGAGATATCGGGAACCGATAGATCCGCGAATCGGCGTTTCGCGACCGTCGATTTCTCCACTCTTCCTCGGAAGGCCCAATTCGGCCATTTTTCTCCGGAAATCGGCAACAATGGCCGCCGTTGCGACGGCCTTCCGGGAAAAAAATCTCCATATGCGTTCTGTGGCTCCTCGTTTCGGTATTTACAAATGCGTCTCTGTTCGTCGGTTACCGTGAACTCGTGTTCTTTGAAACGACGTGTAACGCAACGTCTCCGAGCCGTAATACCTTAGCAAAAGTTCTTCTGAGAGCGTCGCCACGTCGGTCCGCCATTTTGGAGGTGACACCAAAACCAGCTAAATTTTTTTCAGCGGTTCTTCCGATTTTTCCAAAAATCCTGGAGATAGAAACGGACGCGGGGGCCGATGGGGAAGATACGCCCTGGTACTTCAACGTGCACAGGATGCACGGTAACCTACTTCCGGAAATGTCTCCTCCACTTTGAGATGAATACGCGTAGAGGGACTTTCCGGAAACAACGCGACTTTATTACCTATTTTATACGATAAGTGTATAATAAATTAGAGAAACGGAGCTATTAATTCGGGCTGAATAAATTATTCCTCGCCGACCAAGAATTTGTGGAAAGGAGGAAGGGGGTGCACTCGACTGCACCGATGCATCGCCCTGCACGCGGAGGAGGAAGCGGTCATAGAACACGCGTGTCGCCTCGTTATAAATGGATTGACCCAAAGAAAACCTCTGAAATGACATAAATAACGACCCGGTCGACTCTCCACGCTAAATGCTTACGTAACCGAGCATGCAGAGGAAGAGAGAGACAATCCGTTCCGATGCACGCTGCGTTACGATGCATGCACGCATCGCAGCCTCGGTGCGTAACGCAGGACCGATTATCGTGCGTGGGCCAGACCTGGTCTGGTTAGACTACACCGATCTAGGGAAATCGAAAAGAACTAGGGTGCAACCGGAATAAATTAATATAATATCGATCTTCGAGGAGCCGTTCTCGAGATCGATCATTCGTCCTTCGCTAATTCCTCCCCTCGTAATAAATACCGACAGAAGATGAAAATCCAAGCTGCAGGTTCTTTAAGAAAGAAAAAAAATTCCAAAAAGTATTTCCTTCGCTTTTCTGCAATTTTTGAATATTCCAAAATGTTCGTGGAAAACGTATGGACTCCGCGCCGGAAAGACTCGTTGGTATCGAGTTTATCAGGAAGCTCGTCTGCGCGCAATCGATGCGAGATATAAAGGGGAGGTTTTTTATCGATGTCCCCGGAATCTCGAGAATTCATCCGGTCGACGTCGATTTCCAGGGTGGCGTCTTCATGGTCGAGTTTTCGAGCTTCCCGGTGGCACCTGCCGACTTCGACGAACCGTTCCCGTCGCCGTTACCTGGGCGTAACGCTCTGAAAAATTAAGACCCATTACGAACGGGGGGAAAAAGGGAAAAGAAGGGAGGAGACCCCATCATTGCGCAGTAAACACGTTTACAAGGTCGTAAAGGCGCGGAAGCCAGATTGACGTCGACCGAGGTTTTATTCTTACTCGCCAATCGTATTTCCTCCCGACCTGCACTTGCGCCTCGCCTCCGTGCGGTGTTCCACCTTTTCTCCTCCGTCTCCCTTTAACTCCACCTTTGGCCGTCTCCCTGTCTTCGTTCAACCCTTTCCCTCGCGCCTACGAAGCCGTACTACTAACTCGCGTTAGACTTTTCCACGAGGAATTCGCCGACGATCGTTAGAGCCCGACCACTGGGCACTAAAAAAAGATACCCCTGAATGGTCACCGGTCGATCGCCACCGATCGATCCCACTTAATCGCTCATAATCGCGAGAAATTCGATAATTAAAAACCTCGGGAAACCGAAAAATTTCACGGGGACGTCTTTGATGGGAATAATTCCGAAAATCGAGCGAATTCCGTTTTCGGATAAACCGGGACAATTCCAGGGGAAAATTTGAAGGAAATTTCGCGAAAATGCCGTACGTGTACCTACTTTCCAGAATCGCCTGGTCTTCCCTTCTCACGCGTTGCGGTAGTTTATGGTCGGCGCGCTTCGCGGGGGGTCATGGTTCGCGACCATCCCTGAAAGTTCACCAGGAGAAAGAGAACGGGAACGAGCGAGCCTCGGGAAACTCTCTCTCGCGCAGGTACCAAAGAAAATTCCGCGCATTAACGGAACGCTCGGAGGCGCGGAAGGTGTGAAAAATCGATAGGGCAGAAACGGGAACAGGGGTTGCACTTAGCCCGTGCCCGTCTGGGTAGGTCTCGAATTTTCGTTTTTCCCATCCCTTAGTTTCCCACCTCGTTTTCCACCTTCAAGCCCCTCGTCCGAAGAGGAAGGGAGGATAAGCGAATCGTGACGGCATCGAGCCGGAAAAGCTGCGAAAAATTAAGGTTAAAAGAGAAAAGAACGGCGGGATCCATCATGGCGGCCACGAGGTTCACGGGGTCCAGGGGGACCTGGAAATTCTCCGTATCGCGCACGCACGCGGAAAACGGAGCGGGAAGTAATCGCGGCACGCAATTAGTTCGGCGAGCGTCTCGCGGCACGTCGCGCGGGTCGTGCACGCGGGTGGGCGCGCACGCACACCTATTCGCCCGCGGTCGGTGTTTAGCGGATCGCCCGCCGCCCCCGCCTGCCGCACGCAATCCGCGACGGACGTACGTGCGGCCGCTATCGTAGACGCGTAAAAGCGGCTCGGGAGAGAAGCGGGAGGGGGAAAAAAAAAATAGAGTCGTAAGAGATAATTTCGTATCGTCGGCCGATATCGGTCACGCCGTCTATCCACGCGTGCAGCGCGGCGAATCGACAGTCGCGAGATCCGCGGCTCGATCTTTCCGGGAGATGCGGAAAGCCGCGCGAGTCGACGGCGACTTCTGGCCGGAACGACCGTCTCGAGGCGGAGTCGCGGATGACCGTCCGGGCGTCGAGGTCGAAGGGGAGGCTCCCGACGGAAGGAGGTTAGGGTCCCAGAGGAGCCCCTGCGATACTCTTGCGTCTCTTTTGCAGCAGGGTTGCGGGCAGTTCAGACATGGGAAGTGAGCATTACTGCCTGAGGTGGAACAATCATCAGAGCAACTTGCTGGGGGTGTTCAGTCAGCTGTTGGAGTCGGAGTCGCTGGTGGACGTGACGCTGGCGTGCACGGAGGGACCCTCGATCCGGGCCCACAAGGTCGTCCTTTCCGCGTGCTCCAGCTACTTCCAGGCGCTGTTCCTCGACCACCCGAACCGCCACCCCATCGTCATCCTGAAGGACGTCCGCTTCGCCGAGCTGCGCACCCTCGTCGACTTCATGTACAAGGGAGAGGTCAACGTCGAGTACTGCCAACTCTCCGCTCTCCTTAAGACCGCCGAGAGCCTGAAAGTCAAGGGCCTGGCGGACATGACCAACATCAACGCGGCGGTGGCCAGCAGGGAGGAGCAGCACCTGGCGACGGGGCCCGAGGGCCTGCGGGAGCAGCAGCACCGGGACCGGGAGCAGCGCCGGGACCACCGCGACCACCGCGACCACCGGGACCACCGGGACCATCGGGAACACCGGGACCGCGAGAAGGACAAGGACCGGGACCAGAGGGACCGCGACCCCAAGGACTGCGAGCAACCCCCGCAGCTGCAGCTGCAGCCCCAGCTGCGGCCCCCCAGCGAGGCCGCCGCCGCCGCCGCTGCTGCCGCCGCCGCCGCCGCCGTCGCCGCCTCCGACGCCGCCGATCTCATGGCCGAGTGCCCTGCCTCCCCCGCCGCCGGACCCGGCCCCCTCGCCCTCGACCGGCCTAGGAGGGACTCCGACGACGCTGCCAGCCTCGAGGAGACCAGAGGCTCCCTCAGCCCCGTCTCCGTGCACAGCGGGCCCAGCGACATGAGCCTCAGCAACAACACCGCCGCCCCCGGCGTGCTGCCTCTCAGCCTGCCCCAGAGCCGGCTTCCGTCCCCCCACAGCACGGAACCCCTCGCGGGCCCCTCCGGCCTGCCCCCGGTGCAGCAGGTACCCCTGGTAAGCAAACAACACCTCCAACATCCGTTAATCCTTCGGCATACCCCGCGTTTCCGTGCTCCCCCCTCGCCATAGCCTACCCTGAGAAAAAACGTTCCATCGACCCAAGCGTGTAATATATTTCTTCGAATGCCGCCAAAGAAATATTTCATTGATTTAGAAAATATTTATTCTACTCGAATGACTAGAATAACTCGAATAAATTCCTTTAAATCAAGCAGTATCATTTTTCATTCCGAACAAAATATATGTCTACGAGGTATATTCGTTTCGGTGTTCTCATTACAATTTTGGATCGACTCGTAGCTTCGGTCGAGCTTTTTGACTTCGCTTGTTTGGTATTTTCTAATTTTTGATTCCGGTGAACGTTCGTCATGGGTAATCGTTGTTCCCTCGTAGTCGCTGAAGAAGGAAGTGGACTGGGAAAGGTCGACGGAGGAGCGGAGCGCCAGCAGCGAAATCTCCACCGACTACAGACTTCCTCCGGATCCGGTAAGTCTCCCAGGGAGGTTGACGCATTCGTTCTCATTATACTCTTTTATATATATATCGTATGTATTCGTATACACGTATGTATACGTATATATATATTCCATCTATTTCTCTTTGCTCTGCATTCCGTACTCGAGGATTACCATTATCTATCGCCAGCTCGGCACTCGTCTGCGATCGAGCCGATAAATCAAGGTCAAGTTAGGTTGCCGAGGATAGGGCAACCGGAAGTGCATCTCGCGCGTGTTTACGCGCACGCGTAATCGCCCCGGGGCAGATCGGAGGATTGTTCTCGAAAGAAACGGCAACCTCGCTGACATCTCCGGCCGATGCGCCGAAGGGACGTCTCGGATCTCGTTCCGACAAAGGGACGCTCGCTTGCCGAAGTAAATCGTCGAAACGAGAACGCGGGAATTTGAAAAATTGCTGGAAAACTTTCCCGACCGTAGAGGCGCCTCGACGGGTCGTTATCAACGAGTAGAGGAGCGTCCCTTGTCGGCACGTAATCGAAATGACGAATGGTCTTCCTCCCGACGAGGGCTGAACGGCTCGAGCGAGAACCGCGGTAGGGGCTACATTCGGCCGCCCGGTCCCGCGAATGTGGGCCTTATCACGAGGACCGATCGAGCCCTCCGTCGTCGATGAGTAACGGCGCGAGAGCTTCGTTGCAGACTCCTCGACCGATCGTCGTCGAGGTCGATTTTGCATGTGGGTCTGCTGCATGTGCCCAAATGTTTTGCTGTCCGCTGCTCTCCCTGCCGAATCAAAATGGCGACCGCGTCGTGATTTCCTATATATATATATTAAAAAAAAAAAATGAAAAATCGCGGGCTCGACGATCGCGACGACTGACTTGACGTGGACGAGGCTCGCGGGAGTTTTGACGTTTACTCTGATTTTTTTTTTTAATACTATCTTTATATATCGGACCTCAACGGAGACGAAGGATTAGGTGGTCGGATCGAGTATCCGTAAAGTAGCTCCTTCGCGAGACTCTTTTCGAGTCCGATATGGCGTTTCGAGGCATGGTTAAAAAATATCCGCCCGAAGAATAATGGGAGTAAATGGACGGGGGCATCGACTGCGTTATTCCGACGTCGACTAATCTCCCGGGTAGACGTTGCGGCGTAATTACGCGGTAGTGTCTCGTTACCACCTCGCTTTGCCCTGTCTGAGACGCACTCGTTACCGCGAAAGCCCGTTCGAGCCCTAGGAGACGCGTCGCGGAAGCTCCCTAATGCTGCGGAACGCGGGAAATTAATGTGCGGTTAGGTACCGCGGTTCCGCGGTTCCGTGGCGCCGCGATCCCGCGGTCCTTCAGTCGCGGGCGAGCGCGCGCAGCGGACGCACGTGCGCGTCGCCGCTCCCGCCGCGCGTGAGTGTGACACGTGTAGAGGCATATGGGAACCCGCGGCGACGCGGTTTCAGGTCGAACTCGAAGTCGATTAATCGCGTCGCTCGAGGGTCATCCGTATTTCGAGACATCTCGTAGTCTTCCATCGCGTTAAACGACGCGTGCATGTCGACGACGCGTCGTCTTTCTCGACGCCTGAACGAAAAATCGGAGCTTCCCTTTTCCGCGTCCTTGCGAGCCCACGTATATATAAATAAATATGTATGAACATATGTATATACATCGTCGCCCGATCCGTCTTCCTCCTTCCCCTGGGCCCCCGACTCTGGCCCTCCCTCTTCCACCCCGTCGCTGCCATTCACTCCGTCACTTTCTCTCTTCTCTTTCTCTCCGTCTCTCCGGCGCATGCGTGCCCCCGAGCACGTGCGCGCGGCAAACGTCACGCGTCACACGTGAGCGTACACGCGGCATACACCGACGACCCTCCGCCACCACCCGCGTGGTCTGTGCGACTCGCGCGTATGCGGCCGCGTCGGCGTATATGTGCACATGTGGATGGACGCGCGCGCAGCTAGACGTGCGCGCGCATCCGACCCGACTCCATGCGGCGAGGCGCGTCTATGGCGGGCAGGGCGACCCCGGCGGGGGTTTCGAAACGCTCAACCTTAAAAAACACGCAGATTACGTTGTTCCTCCTCGACCTCGTTGCACCGATCGCCCGACACGCATCTTAAATGCGAAGCTTTACTTAAACCCTCGGTGTAAACGGTCGATCTTCGCGGTTTTTCGAATTTCCTTTCTTTCGTTGAACTCAAAAGACGCAGTCGTCGCATGGAGTGATGCGTCGCATTAAAGGACTCCGTCGTATAAGAGAAGTTTTAGAAGGGGTGGCAAAATAGAGCGACCGCGTCGATTCACCCCAGCCGCCCGATGAAGGTGGCGCCATCGCGCGGCCGGGTGGCGAACCGAGTCCACCCCCGCGTCTCCGTTCTCCGTCGTGCCCGTCCGAATTCACCGCATACGCGCGTCCCGCTTACATTTTCCGCTCCGCTTCCGATTTTCGCGTTGCCACGAGGTCTCGGCGCATCGCGACGCCGCCGCTCTCGCGTCCCGACTTTTCCCTCCTGCCAGCCTTGTCTTGCTAGCTCACTGTCAAGAAGTTGACCTTCGTTTTTGGCCATGGTTGTCTACTATTTTTTACAACTACATATTTATATATATCTATATATACATATATATATTTATATATACGCAATATATATGCACACGCATCCGTACGCAGGCGGCCCGCCGACCTTCCCCAGGGAAAGCGCCGCTCGGAGCGCCGGAAGGCCCTTCCGGTCGGCCCCGGCGCGCGCTCCGGCTCGACCAATCGTGGCGCGCGGGCGGGTCACGTGCCACGCCTGCGCCCGCCCATTGGGCGTGTTCGGGGGTGGCTCGCGCCACGCCCGGCCGACGCCATTGGCCGGCCGCAGCCGCCGACCTCGGCGCGCTCCTAGCCGATCATTCGTCGGCCGGCCGTTGAGGAGGAAGGTCGGCGCGGACTTCCGGCCGAGGCGCCGCGTGTACCGCTCGGTACCCCCTGGCATATATATCATCGTATATACTCATATATATCTACATACATATATATATACATTTGTGCATATACTGTACATTTACATACCTATCCACGTACCGTACACGTATGTGTCAAGTTTTTCATATTCCTTCTTACTTATATGATACTCTATCGTTCTTACTATTACCACCCTTACTTATTATTACCGTTTGTATGGTTTGCGAGGATATATTTATATATATATATCTGTGAGCCGGGGCGTCGCGGCGGCGGCGCCGCGAGGGGGCGGGGGCTTCCGTCACAGAGAGGCGCCCCGCGGTCGACTTCCGACGCGGGCGCCGCGGAAACCGGAAGTCCACCGCGCGGCCGCCCGCGACATTCGTTAACTTCCCCGGGGGCGGGGGCGGGGGCGGGGGTAGGGAGCGGGGTGGGCGCGCGCCAAACAAAAATGAGCGTCAACTTCTTGTGCCTGCCGTTTGATATACTCTAAACGGGAGGAGACACTTCTCGCCATTCCGAGACACTCTTTGCCAGAGAAAGAGCCTACCGAGAGACGGATGAACGGAGAGAGAAAGAGATATGGAGTGAAAGGAAGAGAGAGTGAAAGAGAGAGAAAGAGGAAGAGAGAAAGAGAGATCGAAGCGAAGAGAGGAACCACGGACGGACGGGACGGACGATGGAAAGATCGGAGAGAGATAGAGAGAGAGAGAGAGTGAGAGAGAGACAGTCGAGACGACGGAGACGTAGAGATATAGAGATAGAGACCTAGAGATATAGTCGATGATACGTGTACATATAAATATCTATAAATACTCGTAAAAAGAGGGTGTGTGCGCAAGAGTGAACGAGAGCGATCGTGATACATGGAGAGAGAGAAAGAGAGAGTGAAAAAAAGTGAGAAAGAGAGACAGTTCAGAGACGCCGAAGAGGGCGGCACGACCCTGCCTTTAGAAGGAGATAGACAGATTGACGTCTCGCGAGAGTAAGAGAGGAAGAGAGTGAGAGAGGGAGAGATAGAGAGAGAGAGAGAGAGAGAGAAAGAGAGAAAAAGAGAGAGATACGCGGTCGGATAACAGAGACAGGGGGAGAAGCAAGAAGTTGATGTTCTTGTTTGTTTGGTTGCAGGAGTTGATGGGTGTGGATGAGCGGGTGTTTGCGTGCATGTACTGCGGTGCCTCGTTCCTCCACCAGAGCAAGCTGACCCGGCACATCCTATCGCACAGCCTCGAGTCGCTCAAGTACCGCGAGCAGGCGCACCTGCAGCTGCAGGCCCAGCTGGGCCTCGAGGCCGGGGCGGGCGGCATGCACCTGGCCGGCGAGGTCCACTACCCGGGGCCCGGCCCGGTCGAGCCCGTGGACCTCGAGCTCGCCGCCGTGCACTCGGACCCCGCCTCCGGTGTGGTCCTTTGCAAGTTCTGCGGCAAGTCCTTCCCGGACGTCGGATCGCTGATAGCCCACCTGCCGGCCCACACCGGGGACCGGCCGTTTAAGTGCGAGTTCTGCGGCAAGGCGTTCAAGCTGCGCCACCACATGAAGGACCACTGCCGGGTCCACACCGGCGAGCGGCCCTTTCGGTGCACCCTCTGCGGCAAGACCTTCTCCAGGTCGACCATACTGAAAGCCCACGAAAAGACACATTACCCCAAGTATGTGCGCAAGTTCCTGTCCCCGAGCCCCGTCGACCCCACCGAGGAGGAGGCCCCGCCCCCGCCGCCCCCGCACCACTGAGCGAGGCCGCCACCGCGGCTAAGAGTCTCCGCGGCTCTCGTCGCCGCCGCCGCCGCCGCCGCCGCAGCCGCCGCCGCAGCCGCCGCCGCCGCCGCCGCCGACCCTTGCCCCTCCGGCCCCTCCGGCCCCGAGTGGGACCTCCAGGACCAGCTCGCCTACGAGGTCGCCTGAGGACGCCGCCTCTGGCCTCCGGGTCCCCTCTCCGTGGCCGCCGACCCCCGGGCATATTTTTCTATAGCCAACCGACGCGACGAGTCGCTCTCCCCCACCCAAAGATTCACCCCGGGCCTTCCCGAACGGGGTCTCGTTTGCTCCCCACCCGAGGCACCTCCGCGATGCGACAGCCCCCGCGATGGCGGGAACCGTTAGCCGAAGGGGCGAGCGGCCCCTCGGAGAGGCTCCGACGAGGACGGAGGGATCGTCTTCCGCGGGAGGGCGAGAAGGACGGCGGCTGCGCGGGCGGCTGCGCGGGCGGCTGCGCGGCGGTCGAGGCGACCGGGGCGCCATCTCGGCCTGCCCGATGGTATTTCTAGTTAGTCCTGTGATTTTGGTTAGGAGGGGTGGTACGCGTGTTCAGAGGGAGGGACACGTTAAATACGAGCTCCCTCGTTTAATCAGTGCTTTAAGACGAGACGTTTAGCTTGTAACGCGTAGTGTGTCGGTATGTAAATTATTATCGAAGTTTTAAACGGGGAGGCGGAGGACGGGCGCGGACCTCTCGCGACGCTGGCGCCGCGCGCGTCGCGACGGCCCTCGGCGACCCCGGACGCGATTGCGATGACGCGACTGCAACGACGCGACGCGACGAGAGGTGGGGCGGGGGGGGACGTTGGTTCGCGCGAAAAAGAGCGAGCCGAAAGATCTGGGCCGCCACGGTTGGTGCTTTTAAGAGATTTTGATAAAATGCTGTGAATATGATTATATTATTATATTACGACGAACTCTAACTATATATATATATACACATATATATATTGTAATATGTACTAACGTTGTACGATGTACGATGTGACCGTTGTTGATACGATTGAGAATATTTTATACAGTTGACGGGGGTGGGTTTCGACGCGGCGTTCAGGGGCCGCCGCGAGGTTAGGGCGCTTACCGAGTCGGCCGATAGAGTGCGCTGGCGCGGCGCTGCATCCAAGAGGTGCATTGCTGTCCGATCCCTTGTTCCGAGGTCGAGGGAGACCCGAATTTCCTGGACCGTTCCTTGATTTGCGCGCTTAGAAAAAAAAAAAAAAAGAAGTCATTGAACCTAAGAAATATTTCTTGGATTCCATGACAATTTTTTCTTGGAGCATAAAAATAGGAATCGCCATGGAAACTCGGCTTATTTCCGGGCGTTCTAGAGGAGGTCCCGGGATGGAACGCATCGGGCACTTTGACGAGGTCAGGCCTCGTATAGGGGAAACTAGTGGAGGCTAGGGGAGGAAACGAACGCGAGGCCCTTTTGGGCGGTGTTCCTAACATTGAGTTACTAGAGACCTGATACGACGAGGCAGCCATTTTATAGACAGTGCAATATCCCTAAATGCCGCTCTTTTCTCTCGTATCGATTAGTCCGTTTAGTTTTGCGAAACGCGCCCTTAAGCGTAGGTTGTAGGTAACCGCGAACCGAGTCGCGGACAAGATGCAAACCAAATTCCAATGGAACGTTTCCCGATGATCGAATCAAGGCGAGGTCCGCCATTGGTCGCTTTCCTCCATAGAGTGAGAGAAAAAAATTATGGCGTCCCCCTAAAAACGGATATAATCCGGACGCCACTCCGAGAAAAAAGATTCGTTGACTTAAACGAACATACATCGTCGCCTAAATCATACGTAATTGCAAGAAACAATTAATTTGTCGAGAAGAAAAATGATATCGTTGTTTTAAACGACTCTTGTTTCCTCTTCTTGACATTTGGAGGTATTTCATCGCAGGATTTCGTTGCAATTTTTTTTTAAGTCAAACAATTTCTTTTTCTCGGTGCAGCTTTGCCGTGATGGGTTGTAACGGCCAATTGAATCGCCCCCGACGTTTAGCGACTTTCGACAGGGAGGATTACTCGAAATTCGAGGAAATTCGTCGGGAAGCTCGGCTGGTTAAAAGTTGGTCCCGAAGCCGCTTAAATAATTAAGGGGGGAAGCGCGACGTTCCGAGGGGTAGGGCGTCGGGGAAGGGGAAGGAAAAGGACGACGAACGAAGGGGGAGAGAGAGACGGCAAGAAAAGCGCCGGAAGCGACGAAGACGGACGCGGAAAGCCCCCGGAAAGCGGACAAGCTTAGGCCGCATTTCGAACGTTCTGGCTCCATTGACCGATCGATCGGCGAAAAATTTATCGAAATCCTCTAGAGTCGATTTACCGGTCAGGAGGCGAAAGATCCTCATCCCTCGTCGCGTAAAAGAAAAAAGATCTCGCTCGATCGATCATCATCGATCTCTCATCGATCGAGGTCCGACACGGACGGCGTCGGAAACGGAAACGATCGATCGACGGTTATCTCGCGACCCCTTAAAAAATCCACTTGACGTTTTTTTTATTTTCTCTTTTCTTCGATCTCGCGTTCGATCCGATTCTCGAATTCCCGATATCGTCGGGAAAAATGGGTGGAAAAGCGACAACGTTAACGAACTCGGGTCGGGGAGTCGGTTTCGAGCCGCCTTAATCGGGCGGCTCTCGAGAGGGGGTAGTTTAACGTTGGGATACTTTTATTATCACGAGCCTTATCATTGGCTCCGGTAAGTGCGGACTCGATGGACAGTTCGAGCGGAATCGAGCGCACCCGGAAGAACGTTATTGCCAGAAGTATTAATTAACTTTAATTTATTTGTAAGCCCCGTGGCTGAGCGCGAGTGTGCTCGGGCGGACAAAGCCTGCAATTTCTATCGATAATAGACCTCGCCGTGCTCTCTCGAAAGAGCTCCCGACCGGTCGGCCCGAAGGAGGGAGAAAAGGACGGAAAAAGGAGCCTGGAAAGAAACGAGAGGAGCAGACAGAAGTTCGCATTGTGCCACTTTCCCCCTCGTCTCTTTCCTTTTCCCTCTCCCCGTCTCTCTCTCTCTCTCTCCCTCCCCATAAAGGGTGGAAAGCGGGTCGGTTTCCAATTTTCTGGGGTTCTTAACGCCAAGGCCCGAAATTTTGCGAAATTTCGACTTTTCCGGGCGCGAAAAATACGAAGAACTGGAAAAACGCGGGGAACGCGAAACAAGACCGATCGAGGGACCTTGCCAGGAGAAAAATCGACGACCGGCAAGAACGCATCGAAAACTGCATAATGCGTTTGCCTCTATCGCGCGACGAGTCGCATACGCGCGTGCACGCTCGAATTATCGCCGGCCACACGTCACGACAGATAAATCGCTGATTGGCCAGTGGCTCTCATTTTCCTCTAGAAACGAGACCCCCTCGGCCAGAGTTTCATCTTTTCCGACTTCTAGATCTCTAGTTTCGGTGTAACCTCTTTGAAATCGCACTAAAAAAAAAAACATCTAACCTCAAAACAGGCCGGGTATGGGTTAATTCGTTGACATGGAGGACCTTATTAGGATTGCTTCGCGCGGTGAAATGATTAAATTAGACTTATGGTCTGCGGCGGCGCGAAATTACAGTTACTGAGAACACCTAACCAATATAGATACCTATAAATGGCGGAGCGCGTTCGATCGGCACTCGTCGATGATCCGATCATCGAAAATCGATGTCGAGACGGGGGAAGGGTTTCGACTGAGTATACATATCGACAAGGGCACACAGGGGCCCAGGATCGCGTCCTTCGAGGGGGCGGCGGCGTTTTTTATCAGTATTAAGAGACTCGCAATGGCAAGTCGTGCAATGGTTCCATTAGTTACTTTTAAACCTCCACGTGGGGATTCTCTCTTTCCTCGGCGGTCCCTCGTCCCCATTTTCTCTCTTCGCGAGAATGACCAAGAACTGGCAAAGAAATCGGGAAATTCATCGAAGGACTCCTAACGTTCGAGAGCGGGTCTCGTCGATTCAAAATGGCGGCCGAGAGAGGAAATGGGCGAGGGGATGAACGAGAAAAGAAGCATGTCGAAGGAGAGGAGTGCGTAAGTACACAGGGACGGAATACGCAACGTGTGCGACGAGGAACCCCGATATTCGGGGGCTAACGGAAAACGGCGACCGAATAAAATAATTCGCCTTGAAAGTTCGGACGATTCGTGGGGAAAAAAATAAAGGAAAAGAAAAAGGTCAAGACGGAAGAGAAACGCGCGAAAGAGGGAGAGATCCTTGCGCGGGCATTAGCGCGATTATATTTCTGGGCTAAAGTTCCTTGGGGGTGTGTGCGTGAGTTATATATATTAAATATTATATATATTTTTTTTTTCCACTGGACGCTACCCCGATGTGATGACGGTGCTTTGTTTCTCCTTTCGATTGTAAATTAATTTTTATCATCATCCCTAGCGATTACTATTAGTTAGTTAATTTAGAATTTATTTTGTTACTCTAACCTTTATTATTATATTATATTATATTATTAATTATACGATTAACTACATTGCTATCGGTTTACCTTATACATACGACAGTAAAATATAAACGCCTATTTTGAAACGCCGCTTTCAGTTGACCTGTCTCCCCTTTCTCGATTTTTTTACGTTCGACGTTGGTATTCTCCCTTCCCCGTTCCCGAACAGTGGACCCTTCCTTTCCAGGAATTTGACTACTGACCGATGCAATAATTCCCGGAATCGAGAGTGCCGATAGAGCGGGTCGCAGCCCGCGACGGGTACACGCATATGTCGCCACTCTTTTCCTGGTAATGTACTGAAAATCAGTGTTATTATTATTCGGAAATCGCGAGGTCGGAGGGAAATGCCGGGGAAGGAAAATCGGGAAAAATTATCCGCGCCCGAGCGACCTCTCGACGACCTTCTTCGCGTCCGTAGAACGGCGGCGGGAACGCACGATGCCGCATCACCGCCGATTTATCGCGAAATTACATAAATCCTTTTACGTAACGCACCTAAGCCCGGTGCGTGTGCGCGG